ATTGTCATCTTTTGCAATGTAATATTTCATGAATATAAATATCTGATGCAGATAGCATCTTGACTGGGGGCTATACAAGTATTTTCTTAGTGAATTTGTTTTATTTTCCTAATTTTTAATGTTTACAGTGGAACTTCACAATTGATGATGTGTGTTTACCATGCTTTACTAATAATTAGCAACACTCACTAATAATCATCATTAGCAATGTAGCATAGAAAACAATCAGCTGATGCTGAGCATCGCTGTGTTAAAATAAAAATGTGCTGGTGGCCGTTGTATCAGCTGATGTCAATTAATTTGATGGCAGCTCTAAATGAAACATGGCTGTTTGTCAGTTTGTGTGATCTCTGCAAGTCACTATGTTGTGAAAGATCTGTGAGAGAAGAACTGCCACTCTAAAACCACAACCACTGTACAAGCATGGGTGAACTGTCTGTTTCTCTACTTCCAATAAATTTTACAGAGAGAGATGCTTTAGCGTTTTGTATCACGTTACTGCTGACAATGCTGTTCTCCACGATGAACTTTCATTCATATCATCTTACATACACATATTTTTGAACCATGTTCCTCAGTATTTGGATTAATAAGCTCATAAAACAGGATGTGTGGGAAGAACGAGTCTATAGCTGTGTTATTTCAATGTGTCAGATACACTAAGAATTTAATCAAAATACAGAATTGTTATGTTCAGACCTGATATTAAAGGTTCAGTGTGGAGGAGTTAGTGACATCTAGTGGTAAAGTTGCATGTTGCAGCTGAACACCCCTCACCTCACCCTCCCCTTTCAAATATATAATAGAACCTGTCCAGCCTTCAGTTGTCATAAAAACTCAAAAGATGTTTGGTTTGTCCAGTTTTGGGCTACTGTAAGAAACATGGCCGCCTCCGTAGAGACGAACCACTTCCAAAGTAAATACAAAGTATTAAAATATAAAGGACCCATTCTAGGGTAAATTTAGACGATTCAATTTTCAGCAAATTTCTTCTTTCTGTTTAAACATTTATATATGTGGCAGGGTCTGTCTGATTGTTGGTTGGATTGAGCTAAAGGGACACAATGATGTTGTCCATTTGCCCAACCCTATTTGTCAGTAGGATTAGGCAAAAGTACTTGGTGGAGGGATGGGGTATTGGCCAGAACCTGCTACATTATGCTGCAGATTTAGTTAAGGGGGTAGAATTTTTTTGTCCCTTTCCATAACATTGGGAAATAGGGCATTTTTCAATATTTGTTTCAGGAAAATTAGTATGAAAGTAAAATCAGACATATTCAAGATAGCCTTGGCAGAGGTGTGCTCTAGTTTTGTCTGCTCATACACTTTCAACAGGTAATGGGCTTATTGTGATTAATTACAGCTTTTATGAGCTCATGCAGGTTAAAGCTGTGTGTATTTATTTTAAGTAATAACAACTAATCTAGGTGCTAAAATATAATCTGTGTTAAAGGTAGTCTGAGAATCCATAGTTAAGGAAAGACTTCTGTAGATGAAAGCCTGGTTTATATCCTGCCCAGGAAACGTCTGGGATCAGTTTGTTTTCTGCTAAACGCTGTCTTGATTTTTAGTGAAAGTCCCCTCTGCTTTCCGTTGGAGAGGTTTACCTCAAACCAAATTCATTTTCGTCACATAACTGTCAGGGACAGTCCCCAGTACCTCTCGCGACTAATGATGGTGCTGCCTCAATGATTCAGATCAGTTTCCTTTTCTCTTATCTTGGGATTTCATATCCACTCATTTATGTATTGATCATTTACATGAGATGTGACAGAGCAGCAGGAAGTCAAACTGCTCAGGATCTTTTGGTGAGAGCGACAGCAGGAGAAGAACTAGAACAGTGTTCAAAAACATTTTTGTACAATTTTTAAGCAAAAGAGAGGAAAAAGGAAACTCAGATCTTTTCAGTAACTTTTTATTCCTTGCATGTTGCAAGGAAAGGCAGTGCATGAACCTCACCTTGCTAGTCTACTACAGTGTTTGTTTACTTCTTGATGTTACCTCTGTGTGCCTGCCCTACTATTGAGCTCATGGTGAGCCTTGTGTTTCACATGCTGCTGCTCAGGGCTCGGGAGTCAGTGGGTGGGAAGCAGTGAGTGACTGAATATGTGTTTGGGAGCATGGCATGGAGCAGGAGAAAGGAGGTGCCTTGTCGTGTGTGGGAGGCCTGTTTGGATTGGGATTTGGCAAGCAGCTGCAGGAGCATGTTGAAACCCTTTTCATCCTCTGCTCCCATGAGACTGCCATGCTCCCTCTGTTGTTGATGGTACATGTGGTCAAAATGCTGCTTCCTTGTCTCTTTCTTCTCTCCTCCTCTCCCTCCTCCCACAGACCTCCTCCTTTCTTTGCTCTGCTTTGCTTGCTTGCTTCGGCTGTGCTCCCCTCCCCCGCAAACCTCACTCCTGTGCTCCGCTTGTTTACATCTCGCTGTGCAGTTCATGCGCAGGTTTTTGTCTTCTCTCTATATGTGTGAAGTGTTCGTGTGGCTGACAGCATCGGAAGGTGCATGTGCACATGTTCGAGTGTGCATGTGCACCATGAACGTGCACAGTCTGCTCTGTGCACTCTCCCCTACTAAAGCATGTTGTGATGTCATTGACTGCTACTCGCACTATCACAGCGAGTCAGAGGCGTGTGTTGGTACTCCGCCCCCCTCTTCTCCGCAACAACACCAACCAAGAGCAGAAGCTATCTTAGAGAGGAGAGGATGCTGGTATTACTGTGACGAGGGAATGTAAGAGGAAAAAGATGCTCAGCTGCACTATGAGGAGTGGAGGATGCTCAGGTTTATATATCCTACCAGGCTTATATTGTGATTGTGAACAACTAAAGAAGCACACATTCATGGGTTTAGGACTTTTTAAATTAGGTATCAGGTATTCACTTCGAGACCTGTGAAATTCTTGGCTGGTACAAATCAGTTTGCATGTAATTGTGTGCGCACACTTGGTTAGCAGCTGCTCTACAAACTGGGCCAACGAGACCTCGACTGCATCCCTGCATGCTGCTATAAATAAACATGATGAAATGACATACTCACCTCGACTCTTAAACACACACACACTCTGATTCCAAGAGGTAGTGGCACACACTGAATCCTCAAGATGTTAATCATCCTCTGCTAACTTCAGTGCTGCACATCAAGCTGTACTGAGAGCATGAGAGGAAAGATTCTTTTTCAGTATGTTTTTACAGTGTATCACATTAAATCACAATTTCTTGAATCACCCCCATCAAAATTAAGTCACAGATAAAACATGTTGAAGTTAGTAATTCCGTGAGTGGAATAACACTCACTCAATTGCAAGTTGGAATAAAGTATTTTTTTGTTGTGCAAAAAAATGGCACATAATTCATTATAGTTTGGTTGATCTGCCATATCAGGTTCTCAAATGCTTTTTGATGCATATCTGTCCCAGTGCCTTGTAAACACATGAAGACTTGTTTTTTATGTCATGTACCAAGAGAGGAAAAAAGAGAAATAAATCAGCTTTTGAGAAGTCGATGTCAGATGTCTACATCTCTTTACAGCCCTTTACCTCCCTATATAGCTCAGTCTGCCCCGATTGGCGGGCTGTCCCACTCCATAGTGACTGGTCAACCACTTCCAGCATATGTATGAAATGTTCACATTCGCTCTTGCTTTAACTGGCTTTGTTAAGGGGCATACATTATGCAAACTGGGGCCATCTGACATCATGATGCTATGGAAGTATTGGCTAGACTTCTGATGAGACATTCAGGAGCTGCGTTTTTTTTGGAGGACCTAACTTTACTATGGAATTTTAATATTTTTACATACACAAACCTTTCCAACACTAGAGGAAAAAGCTTAATTGAAAAGCTAAGTGTGATAAGCTCTGAGATCCTCTGAAATGCTTACCGTGTAAATGACATATCACCATAGGAAGGTAACAACATGGTTCTTGTGCACCACAAGACCTCATCACACCACACATCTTGTGTGATGGAGCTGTATAATGAGCATTTAACCTCACAGGGCTGCTCATATGGCTTTAGACCTAAAGGGATAGTTCACTCATTATCTACTCACCATTATGCAGATCTACGGGTGGGTGAAGTGTTTGAGTCCACAAAACACTTCTGGAGTCTCATGGGTAAACTTCTTAGCAGCCGAATCCAATACAATTGAAGTAAGTGGTGACCGAGACTTTTGAAGTAGTAAAACACTGGAACTAAGCTAGAGGACGTCAGCACATCAGACAGTCCGTGAATACATCTCGTAGGAAGATATCAGAGGACATTTAGGCTTAAAACATGGTGTTAATGACCTAGTTTTGAGTCGAATATAAATGTCGGAGCTTGCACACACTTAGATGACACCACACAAGCAGTATGGAGGCATGTTAAGTTGTTTCTGTTGTTTTATTACGTTTGAAGTCATGGTCACCAGTTACCTCAATTGTATCGGATTCAGCTGCTACAAAGTTTACTTCTGAGACTCCAGAAGTGTTTAAAGGACTCAAACACTTCACCCACCCCTCCATCGGCACACTGGTGAGTAGATAATGAGTGCATTTTAATTTCTGGGTGAGCTATCCCTTTAAGGCCTCTCTGTTTTGTCTGTGTTCTTGTCCTGGCTCTCTGTCTGACTGTACTATGACTGACCAACCACCTTAGAATTTTAACATTTCCTTCCGGGAGCAGGAATGCAGCGCAATGTGTTAGTCACCCAGTAAGATGTGGATGTTAGCAATTCAAATGTTCTGTTGTGGTTTGAGACTTCTCTGGCTACAGACATGTCACCCTGAAAGCCAAAGAACATGAAAGCACAGAGTGAGCCAGCAGGCGAAAGTGATTGAGCACTTCATTATAGCCTTGAAGCCATATTATTTATCTGAGTCCAACTTCTGAACTGATATAAGTGTTGCACATCTAAGCCAGCTGACAATTATGTAGCATGATCGATTTTGTAATAAGTTTTATCATTATAAATTAAATTGTATGATCATAAAGGAGTTTTTCCTTTTTTCTTGTAGGATGAAGCATTTGGAGGATTTGGGATGGTTGACGAGCAGAAAAGAGTACAGTGCACTTCAACAACCTCTTCAGGTAAAGTAACTCCCTTCTGGCCTAGAGACTTTGCAGTTGTCTTGAGATGCCTATTCCTGTACAGGTTGATTATATATCTGATGTTTCCATGCCACCTAAATGTCCCCCATTTCGTTCTTGGGTTTTATCAGAGGGCCCACCCATACAAGAGAAGAAGCCCAGAGGCCGACCACCACGGGCCCTGACTGCCCAGAAAGCTGCTACAAGTCTACCTTCCCCTTCTTCACTTCCCACCCCCACACAGACAAAACCTGAGGGTCCAGAAAGGCCAGCTGACAAGGTAAAAAGGTTGCCTGGGAGGCCACCTGGCACTGGGGAAAAGAGAAGAGGTCGACCCCCATCTTCAAGTAGCAAGAAAGCTTGGAGTACAGGCAGCCATGCAGCAGGGGATGACGGTAGGCAGGCTGGGTCTGAGTTGGGCATGGACACAGAGGAGGACACAGACAGAAAGGGTGCCAAGAGGATGCCACTTGCCTCTACTCAGCCTCATGACAGTGAGGCAAAGCTTCCCAAAGGGGGGCGGGGGGAATCCAAAGTTACCAACCTGAAGAGGCTAAGAGCAACTAAACTTACCCCTCTCAAGGCACGGCTTAAGACTTTGCCTGGTGTACCCCGACGGAGACGTGGGCGACCACCCTCTGCTGAGCGGCTCAAAGCTGAGGCAGCAGCTGCTGCTGCTGCTGCAGCACAGCTCTCTACCTCTATTGAAGGTGGGGAAGGGAAAAGCAAGGCCTTTAGGGCCAGAGGAGGTGACAGAGGTGCAGAACCACATACTCCACAGCAGTTGATGCTGAGGAATGTAGATGGAGCTGAGGACCAGGACTCTTCCAATCCACCTGCCTCCCCATCTTCCTCTAAGCCAGGCAAGACTGTGGGCCTCAGAAAAAGCCCTCGCCATAGAAAGCCTGTCAGAATTGTGCCTCCTTCTAAACGCACTGATGCAACCATCGCTAAACAGCTGCTGCAGCGAGCAAAGAAAGGAGCACAGAAGCGAATGGAGAAAGAAGCTGTATCCATAGGGGGCAGTGGGACAGGAGCCATAGAAGCTGGCATCAGGAAGACACAACTGAAGAACATCAGACAGTTTATCATGCCTGTGGTCAGCACTGTTTCCCTTCGCATCATCAAAACCCCTAAGCGTTTCATTGAAGATGAGGGCAGCTTTGGAATGCCACCACCACATATGAAGATGCCACGGTTAGAAAGCAACCCCTCATCTGTCTCTGCATCTGCCCCACTCACCTCCACCACCACCACTTCCTCACTGTCTCCTGCGCTGGTCTCTACACCTGCTGTTACTAGCACTGGTACCTCTGCTCAAAATGACTCCCTCCCCCCTCCTACACCTACTGCCCCTATCCCTGCAGTTCCATCAACTGCTGCCAGTCTGCTCAACAATGACAACACCAACAATGCCACCAATGGGCGATTTAGCAGTAGTGCGGCATCTTGTGGCTCAAGTGCTGTGTCGCAGCATTCCTCCCAGCTCTCCTCTGCAGAGTCTTCCAGATCCAGCAGCCCAAGCTTGGATGACTCATCATGTGACTCCCAGGCTTCCGAGGCCACACAGGCTTTGTCAGAGCCAGAGGATCATTCTCCGTCCTCGCAAGGAGAGAGGGAGGGCAACCTGTTGCACAGCTCACGGCCTCCTTCCCCTCCCTCTGAGCCAGAGCCTGAGCATGAGCATGTGCCGGCAGAGAGGAGTCGACGGGGCCGGAGAGAATCAGCAGTTGGCCGGGGAGGTCAGAGCCAGAGAGTGAGAGAGACTCTCACCTCTGGGCCTAAAAAGCCCATCATCAGCCCACCAACAGGAGTGCTGATGTCCTCCTCTACACTTGTAAATTCCCAGCAAGCTTCATCCACAGCTTCCTCCTCTTCTTCACCTCCACCTCCCCCTCTCCTCACCCCTCCACAGCCTCTACAGTCAGCTTCCTCCAACACAGCTGCTATTAGTGAACACCACTCGCAGTCCCCCTGGATGCCTCATTTTCTGTCTGGCCCGTCAGTGCTGTCCAGCTTGGCAGACAAACGTAGCCGCTCAATTTTGAGGGAGCCCACCTTCCGTTGGACATCCCTGTCCCACCCTGAACATCAGTACTTTTCCTCTGCTAAATATGCCAAGGAAGGCCTCATTCGTAAGCCTGTATTTGACAACTTCCGTCCTCCCCCTCTCACAGCTGAAGATGTTGGGATGTTGCCCCAAAGTGTTAGTGGAGCAGGAGGAGCTGCTCCAGTGGCATTCCCGGCACCAGGCAGTGGAGCAGCAACAGGAACTCGTCTATTTGCCCCTCTTCACAGCCATACCCACCACCAACATCCCTCCTCATCCCGCTTTGATGCACCACTCCAGAAACGCAGCCCATTGCTCCGCGCTCCACGCTTTACACCCAGTGAGGCCCACTCAAGGATATTCGAGTCTGTTACCCTGAAGTCATCCTCTGGGAGCATCTCTGGCTCTATCTCCCCACACCAGTCATCCTCTGGCTCCAACAGATCCTCGCGGCGCAGGAGGCGACTTGTCACTGGAACGCTACGTGGCCACCCGCGGTCTCCTTCTCATTCAATGACCAGACGCAGCAGCCAAATTGGAGGCCAGATATCTGTGAGGAAAGGCTCCTCTGAGAGGTCTGTGCTGATGGGCTCTGTCTCAAGTAGTAACCCCAGCTCATTGCCAGGGGTCTCTACAAGTCCACTAGCCACTAGTGCCTTAACTCCTGCTTCTTTCAGCACCTTCTCTACTGTATCCCTGAGTCTGGCCTCACAAGGGACACCTGAAAGCAGGAGGGGAGCTGCTGGAAACCCACCACCTTTGTCAACTACATCAGCCACTTCTTCCCCACTTTTCCCTATCTTTCCTTCCAGTGCCCAGGACACAGGCAGAGGAGCTGGTAAAGGAGGTAAAGAAAAAAGCTCCCCAGCTCCCCAGGAACCTGCGCCCATGGAAAAAGAAAGGGATTCAGAGAAAAACAGAGAGAAAGAGAAGGAGAATAAGAAGGAAGGGAGGAAAGATGGGAGGGACTTAGAAGATGCTCTTTTATCTCTTGCTCCAAAAAAGGCTCCAGGGAGAAAAAAATCGACCTCAGTTGACACGGTTTCTGACACTGCCTCCTCAGAGGTACGTGGACCCCATTCCTCTGTTCCTGTGTCCATCGCTAAAGGACGCTTACCTAAAAAAGGTAGACCCTCTGAGAAAGGACCAGAAATGGAGGATGCAGAAAAGGAGAAGGAGAAACAAAGTGCTCCTAACCAGCAGACGGCAAGCCCTCAAGGGCAGCCGGGCAGACAACAGCTTCCTGTCTCCTCTCTTGGATCAGTGTTGGACATAGCAGAGAAACAGCCTGTGAGTGACAAGCGGGTAGTCGGACTACTGAAGAAGGCCAAAGCACAGCTCTTTAACTTGAACAAGAGTAAGCTGAAGCCTGCAGACCAGACCAAGGTCCAGGTCAGTTTGCCTGTTGCCTTCATTGATTGCCATCACTCTGTCTCACCTAAATTCTTCTCCGTTTCTCTCATTCACATTAAAAAGCCACAAGCAAGTAGCTCTGACATGCTGCTATGAAGATTTGTTAAAAATAGAAATCTGTGTTTGTACTCAAACTGAAACTTGATAATAGGAAAGTCCCACGGAGGGTGTTACATAAGGGGAATTCTGTTTGCTTCATACATTATGCAGAACGCTGCACTGGCTTTGCTGTTGAAAGTATTGTCTTCTGTACAGAATATACTCATCTGTTCTTCTGCTCTTAATCTAAAGATTAAATGATTATAGGCAGTCACTGCACATCTTCAACTGTTTCAGCTAAATTCAAACCAACCCACCCCCCCTGTCACCACATCATCATCTTTATTATTGCACATCGTTCATTGATGAGATTTTCATTTGGTTTAGTGAACAAATAAGATCTAGCATCCTAAGGACATAAGCAACATCTTAAAATGTCAGCCTTTTGTATTGAATATGTATAACTATCTGTGTATTCACTTCTTATTATGAAGCTCTTCAAATATTTGTTTCACTCTTTTGTGGTGATGTGTGATTGTGAGCAGGGTCAAGAGAGTGACTCGTCAGAGACCTCAGTCCGTGGTCCACGCATCAAGCATGTATGTCGTCGTGCAGCTGTGGCTCTTGGCCGTAATCGGGCAGTCTTTCCTGATGATATGCCCACACTTAGTGCCTTGCCCTGGGAGGAGAGAGAGAAGATCCTATCTTCCATGGGGAATGATGGTAAGGCACAGTTTTATTGTCATAACTTTGTGGCGTAGAGAGGCCCCCCTAGATGTAAATATAAAGTATTTGAATATAAAGGGCCTTATCTGGGGTAAAGAAAACTACAGTTAATACAATTTAGATGAAATGAACTAGTGAAAACATCATGAGAATTATTCTACATTAAATTTCTGCCAATAGATCCCTTTCACCTCAATCTTACACACTGGACCTTTAAATTGCATAAATGATGTTTCTCATTTTTACAGACAAGTCATCAGTAGCAGGTTCTGAAGAGGCAGAGCCTCAATCCCCTCCCATAAAGCCACGAGAAACACGTCAAAAGTCCATTCAAGAAGCTCCTCCCAAGAAGGGACGTCGGTCGCGACGCTGTGGCCAATGCTCAGGCTGCCAGGTTCCAGAGGATTGTGGTGTCTGTACTAACTGTCTTGACAAGCCTAAGTTTGGAGGACGAAACATTAAAAAGCAATGCTGCAAGTAAGTAAGATGATGAGCCCTTTGGTGTACAAGATTATTATTAATCTCAAGAGAGTATTGAAGATCATTTTATTACAAACAAGTTTTTTTTATTCGATTTTTGAGAAATGCCGTGTTGAACTTTGTAAATTTCACTATCTACAGGATGAGGAAGTGTCAGAATTTGCAGTGGATGCCCTCAAAGATGTTTCTTCAGAAGCAAGGCAAAAGTAAGAAGGACAAGAAAAAGTACAGGTTGTCTGAGAGGAGAGAGGGTCTCAATCCGGGTAAAGGAGTGAACTCAGAGTCTGCCCCTAAGTTGTCTCCTGCACCACCCAAGGAAGAGCCCCCTCGCAGAAAGAGTGAAACTCCTCCTCTTAAGCTGGGAGAGGAGAAGTCAAGGCAGCAACCATCCTCAAAGCAATCATCTCCCACCCTCACATCTTCCCCTGCCCCTGCTGATTCACCTCAGACCCCCAGCACAGTCACAGCCCAGGCTCCATCTCCAGCCCCAACACCAGAGCCTAAACAGGTCTCTGTCATGGCTAGTGTCACCAGTAAGAAGGGACAAAAATCACATCTGCCTATACCAACATCCTTCTCTTCGTCATCCTCCTCTTCCTTGTCGTCTTCTTCGTCATCGTCATCATCCTCATCCTCCTCGTCATCTTCAGCCCAGAATTCCCCCTCCCAGTCTACGCAGTCTCATCAAGCACCCCAACAGCAACAACGGGCTCTTACGAGTCAGACATCTCCAAAAAAAGATGCTTCACCCAAGATTCCTCTTAACGAGTCCAAGAAGAAGCCCCAGCAGCACTCGTTGCAACAGCAGAGCGCCAATACAAATATTTCAGATACAGGTAAAAAAAGACAAATGGTTGCATCGTGTTCCTTTTAGTAAATTTAAATATATAGTTCATATCCAGCACAATATGAATGTTATGTCCTTTCTGTTTTTAATAGTCGAATCAAAAACGTTGAAGAAGCCAACTTCTCGTATTGTTCCTCCATCTCCCAAACAGAGACCAAAAGACAAGGTAAGAGGAAGTCACTTTTTTATTTCTAAAAATGGTGGTACTTTATTTCCAATATTCATACTCCTCTCTCTCTTCTCCTGTGTGACAATCACCTAAAGCCGCTGACCACTAAACCCCCTGGCAGCAGTACTTTAAACTGGCTGAGCACTCCCTCGACTAGGGGCCAGACGAAGTCCAGAGCGCCCTGCGACGGAGTGCATCGTATCAGAGTGGATTTCAAGAAGGACCATGATGTGGAGAAGGTGTGGGAGGCAGGTGGCCTCAGCCTGCTCACCTCCATGCCGGTCACACCCAGGGTGCTCTGCTTCTTATGTGCAAGCAGCGGTAATGTTGAGGTAAAAAAAACTGTCTTCGTTGTTGTTAAAACTTGTCTTATTTATTTGTCTGTGTAATAACAAATCTTCTCTGTTTCCCCTGCTGCCTTCCTCTGTCTGCTGTTTCTCTGTCTCTTTATTGGTAGTTTGTCTTCTGTCAGGTATGCTGTGAACCGTTCCATCTCTTTTGCCTGGGGGAATCGGAGCGCCCTCTAAAGGAGCAGATTGAGAACTGGTGCTGTCGACGGTGTCGATTCTGCCAGGTCTGTGGGCGCCAGCACCAGAAAACTAAAGTAAGCCATTCAGTTCAGTTCTGTTCATTTCAAAGCTGCTCACAAAAGAAGCTTAGTTTAGAGTGACAGAGTGTAAAGGCTAAAGAATCTTCCTCAGAAAGAAGCTTGCCAGAAGACAGCACTTAATCAGCTTCTTGGATTCCTTCCATGATTTTATTATTTAACTCATGGTCTTAGTCTAGCATGGTTGTTAGGTCAGAAATATATGTGAACATATTTGGTCTACACAACACAATCATGTGCTTGTTGGATGGTTTTGTCCAGTGTCTACATGTTAATTAGGTTGTATGAACTTGTTGGTTATTGGTCTGTCAGTAGTTCGTGGCATAAGATGTGAATGGTATGGAAACTGATTTATTGCAGCCAGTTCTTTGACCCAAATCTCTGCCCAAAGAGCATTAAGCAATTTATCTCTTTGATTGGCTTTTATCTGTGACCAGATGAATAGCAGCAGACCTCTAGCACTTTCTAAACTCACATCTCAGTGCGGCTGAAATCTTAACTCCTGGTGATATCGGAGGCTTTCGGCATCACAGATCTGTGTTGCATGATCATAAAACGTACATATTGTATCAAGCATTAAGCAGTGTTTCATTTCCAGATAAATATTAAGTGGTGTCACGAGAAGGTCCTTAACTTGTCTATGTATTATTTTTAACAATAATAAATAGCACAATGGCTCATAGTTTAGAAAAGAAAAATGCGCTGCAGCACATTAACTGTGTGTTGCCTTAACGTGGGCTAAATGTGTTGACCCAAACCCACAGGTAAACTTGACTCTAGTTGCCACTTAAATGGCTGTCTACAAACACTGCCACGCTCAGCTCTAATAGTAGCTGCATCTAAATGCCTTTTAATTATGATGTTCATCCATCCATGAAGCCCATAGTGAATGTGCCACTCAGTTAACTCTATTACACTGTAGTTAAATGTATGCATGGCATGTTACGTACAAGCTGTATGATAACAATGTGTTGAAACCAGGTCACATACTTGTTGCCAATTTGCTGTGAACAGATCTGTGTTGTTTGTTGAGCATGGAAAGTTTAATGTTGCCACTTTTAATTTTTAAAATGATTTTTAAAATCATTCACTTTCTTTATCTGTCACCGTAGCAGCAGCTGCTCGAGTGCGATAAGTGCCGCAACAGCTATCACCCGGAGTGCCTGGGTCCCAACCATCCAACCAGACCCACCAAGAAGAAGAGAGTCTGGGTATGGACACACTCACCTCTCTTCATTTAGACACCGTCTACCTTTTCACCTTTGTGTAACTACCACAGTTTGCGCCACTGACAAACGTTAGTTTGGCTGTGTCTATGAAAACATTTGACTCCTCTCATAGCGTCACTTACATTTCTGCTCTTTAAACAACTGCTCGCAAGTTTTGGCCATGTAGTCACTGCCTTGCCTGTGTGCTCTTTCTTTTCAGGTTTGCACCAAGTGTGTGCGCTGTAAGAGTTGTGGAGCCACTAAACCTGGGAAGTCCTGGGATGCCCAATGGTCGCATGACTTCTCCATGTGTCATGACTGTGCCAAACTCTTTGCTAAAGGTGAGGACAGAGTATATATTACACCTCAGATTTTTTTCTGACATTAAAAGGAAAAGGATTCTGTAAGAATCTGTTCTGTATTTTGAAGCAACATCTTTAAAAAGACATTTCAATCTAAGCCAAGTAGTTTATTCAGAATGTAACTGTCACCGTTTTATCCCTCAGGGAACTTCTGCCCACTGTGTGATAAGTGCTATGATGATGACGATTATGACAGCAAGATGATGGAGTGTGGTCGTTGTAACCATTGGGTTCATGCCAAGTGTGAAAATCTGACAGGTTAGTAGGCCCCACACAAGCCAGGTAGAAACATGTATTAAAACACAAATTTACTCTCTTTTCCTTACAACTGGAGCTCTGTATTTAATATTTCCCAGCACTTGTTCTTTATTTGTCTTGTCAGCTGTCAGTGTCTGTGCAAATGACTGACAGGCTGCCCTGGGAGCGCTGTCATGCTGATGAGATGAAAGACGATAAACTTAATAACACACAATTAATGACCTGTCATCTCCCACTGTCCCCCAGATGAAATGTATGAGCTACTGTCAAAGCTGCCAGAGAGTGTTGCCTACACTTGTACCAAATGTACTGAACGCCATCCGGCCGAGTGGAGGACGGCGCTAGAGAGGGAGCTTCAGGGCTGCATTCGCCACGTCCTCACTGCACTGCTCAACTCGCGTACATCCACACACCTGTTGCGTTACAGACAGGTCAGAAACACACTGTTACTTCTTTCAGCTTAATGAACATGATAGTGATATTGGCCAGTGTGTAAACCTTTGGCTTTGGGGCAGGCGGTGAAGCCTCCGGATCTGAACCCAGAGACAGAGGAGAGTCTTCCGTCCCGTCGTTCCCCCGAGGGCCCAGATCCTCCAGTCCTGACTGAAGTCACCTCCACACCTTCCAGTGACTCCCCTCCAGACCTGGACAATGTTGAGAAAAAGATGGATCAAGGCCGCTACAATTCAGTGGTATGTTACCTTTTCAGTCTGTTGTCTGGAATAATGAGTTTTTTTCATCTAGCAGAGCAATTTGTATCTATTACGGACATAACTTTGAAGCTATGACAACAAGTTTCAGTTGTAGATTTAACTATTGGTCTCTTCTGAATCTGTTGTCAGGGAGATGAATAGTTATGTTAAATGACTTTTCCAGTGTCCATCGCCACTTCACTGTTTTAACAATTACTCTCCATATGTGTGTCTGTTCACCATTTCTCTCCCAGCTGGAGTTTAGTGACGACGTTGTGCGAATCATTCAAACGGCCATCAATGGTGACGGTGGCCAGCCGGAGAGCAGGAAAGCCAACAGCATGGTCAAGTCTTTCTTTATTCGGGTAAGAACTTCTCATTAATTATCTAGACTGTTGCAGCCCGCCATATTCTAAATTGCACGATTTGTTTTTACACTTATCATAATAACATTTAAGATCCCTAACTTGGGGATATGTGCAATGTATGCAGAACTATTTGCCGTGTATTCGCTTGCACTCTTGCACTACTGCATGTGTGCGCTACCACATGCTCGCTCTACCTCATGCTTGCGCTATGGTCCAAAATGTTTCTACCGTCTACGCTGACTGTCGTACCTCTTAGTTTCAGCTGCATTTGTAACATCAATGAAATTCTTCCACTCTTTAGTCTGTGTACCTGTCAATGTTAATGCTATAGATTGAATCAGTAATACAACATTGCAGAGCAGCTCACAGGCTCTCACTCAGGCTGTGTTTGTATGAAGTTATATGATGCGATATTCTTTTTTGACACACAAAAACGTTCACCGATACATCTTGTGTTTTTAATCATTACAAAAAATAACTTTGTCCTATGATTGGTGTACCCCTGCAGCAGGAATAGATGAAGTATATTAGTCAAGGTATGGCAGCATCAAGCTAGGGCCCTTCTGTTGAGCTACAGTGTGACTAACTACAAATTCTTGCCCGTAATTATGGTCTGTGCAAATGCTTTAGTGTGCAAACTTCATTGCATGTTTTCTCTTTCAGCAAATGGACCGGATCTTCCCATGGTTCAAAGCGAAAGAGTCCAGGTTCTGGGAAAGGCAAAAAGTCTCTGCCAAGTGAGTGTCTATCACCAAAGTCAATGCAAGAGTTTGTGTTCAGTGGTCCGTGTCCAACTCTTCTGACTAACTCATTAGAGTTATGTAAGCCATCATTTATATTACCAGTTGTTTCTCGATGACTTTTACAGAGTTATGATGTCATTATTCAAAAATGTTTTTCTACATTAAGACAAGTTATGCACTGACTGGTTTGTTTTATTTTTATTTCAAATTGAACGATTTGATATCCACACAGTCAGGAAACACTACTGACTGAAAGCTCAAACTAACATGAAGAATCTGAAGGTCAATATTTAAAGCTGCCTCCCAGCATGCATTGCTCTCAATTTTGTGAAGTGTGTGATGTGCTGTAATTTTATAAACTTGCCTGTGAGTTATGTTGGTAATTACACAGAAGAATTTTTTTGGGTATTTTCGTAACGTGATCCCGTTCCAAGACCTTTGAACGAAGAAGAACTGCCGTTTTTTTGGAACTGTAGGTCTGTAATTATTGAAATGAAGAGTAAGATGTGGTTTATCTGGGAGAAGCTGCAGCATCATCCTCTGTGTATAAGAAGGAACCAGAAAGCATTGAATTAATATTTCTAAAGTGTGTGGGCTGACTTTACCAACAACCCCTGAAGAAACTTGAGCCAAGTAGAAAGATTAAGATTTGTAAGAGTGGAAATCTGCAAAGTTTTATGCTAGTCAGTTTTGTGAATCACAACTGTAACAGCTCAAGAAATGACTTAAGTGTGTTTTTTCAACATGCAGTTACCTAAGTCAGGACAGTTTATGTGATTAAAGGTCCCAGTCAAGATTTAAAGCTGCAGTAATGAAACTGATTACACAGTCTGTTTGATTAATGAACTCACTGGACAGTTCAGTGATGAATGTGAGGGAGTGATGATTGAAGGCTAATTGATGTGATTATTACAGTATTTAGTGGAAAGATGAAGTCAGTATCTATATTAGTCTGCACTGACTAATGGGTCAATGAAATCAACTCCCCTCAGCTGCAATTACATATATTATATATTGATTGGTGCCTTTATATCAATGATTAATAATAAAATGGTCATTATGAATAATTGATGCTGTTCACAGAGATTTCAGTTTTATCTAGATTATAAGAAAGAATAAGTCATAGCCATTATATGGCAGCAGGAACCTTTCACAATGTATATGAATAGTGAGTTGTACTGTTCTGCCTATTGGAATTAACCACTACACGCTCCTTCACATTCATTAATTTACTAACTCACTCACTTAAGTGGAGCTATCGCCTCTCCTAGGCCATTTATCCTGCCTCGCCTCAAGGCATTGTGGGAGGCTAACCGTACGAGTTTCAAATTTCATTTGATGGCTCTCTGATACATACTTGTGGTCTAATTGTGGTTTACTTGTCAGTTTGCTCTGTTGCGTTATGTATCAGCGCTTCGGTCCAGGAAACTAGTGATCCATGCAGTGGATCCTGTGGCCGTCATGGGATGGATGCCTGTTTTAAAGCCCCTGCTGGTTTATTAGACTCAAAAGCATAGTTCACCCAAAAATGAAAATTCACTCATTGTCTACCCACCACTATGCCGATGGAGCAGTGGGTGAAGTGTTTGAGTCCACAAAACACTTGGTAAGCACTTCTTCAAATAAAAAAAAAGCCTCCATACTGCTCCTGTGGTGTCATCAAAGTGTCCATAAGCCCCAACATTCAAAGTCATGCTTTGGAAATAATAAGCATTATCTTACTTTAAGGCAGCATTCTATTTTATATTGATTTAAAGATTTGTTAAATTATATTTTTCAGAATCACATCTTGTCTCTCATTGAGATTTAAAAATCACAATGGTTCAGTGGAATTTTATTTGAAGGAAGTTTAATAAGATTAAGCAATAAATATCAGTTAATTCAGGAATGAGAAGATATATTTACATCATCATATGCTGATTGTTTATAGTATATATTTGTAATGTCTGTAAGGACATGATTTAAGTTGAGTAAATCTATTTAAGAACGAAATCTACCGTTGCACAGACTAACAATGAAACAATTAATGTCTCAAGATGTAATTTACCTAATCCTCAATAACATTTTAGAAGGTTAGAGGGATAGGAAGTTGACAAAAGCATGCACATCCAAACTTGAGATTAGATGCTGTACAGAAGCAATGGAAACCAGAAGTCGGTAAATGTCCAACCACCGGTTGAGGCTCCCCTTAACCCAGAATTATGTGCTTGGAGTTTTTTTTCATGTCCTTAGTTTTCACTTAAGTTTTAAATCCACATAGTGACATGTGTGGTTATTTGAACTTTGGTAGTTCGGTTGTTTACATCAGTGCTTTGTAAATAAAATAATCAATGTTGGTACTAATTGAAATGTCTGTATCTCTGCTCGTCATTACTACCCAGCAATGGGCTCCTCCCGAATGCTGTGCTGCCTCCATCCCTGGATCACAACTACGCCCAGTGGCAGGAGAGACAGGAGCTTTCCCGCGCTGAGCACCCCCACCTCGTGAAAAAGATCATACCAGCTCCCCGACCCAAAACCCCCGGTGAACCAGATTCTCCAGCCTCCCCGCCTCCTCTCCCTCCCTCTCTACCACCACCACCTCCACTCCTATCTGGTAAGATAATAAACAGTTGTGTGTACGAACACTGTTTCTCACATCTTGTCACTTTCTCTTTTTTCACAAATTCTAAATTGATCTCATCTCTTCAGATCGTGAAGACAGCCCAGAGCTCCCTCCGCCGCCGGGTGTTATTGATAATAGGCAGTGTGTTCTGTGTCTGAAATATGGAGACGAGAACACTAATGTGAGTCAAAAATCCACCCAAAATCTCTTAAACACACACAAGGGTCTATGAAGAAGAATATATGTCACTTACACCATTTTTGTATGTTTTAGGAGGGTGGCAGGCTGTTGTACATCGGCCAGAATGGGTGGACCCATGTGAACTGTGCGCTGTGGTCTGCTGAGGTGTTTGAGGATGATGATGGCGCACTGAAAAATGTTCATATGGCTGTTCTCAGGGGAAAACAGCTGGTAAGATGGGATACTTTGTCCATCACAAGTTCCCACACTTAATTTTGAATGTATATTTATTGGACTGAGTTTGATATATATTAATACTTTTATACTTTCTATGTAGCACTGTGAGAAGTGTCAAAAGCCAGGGGCTACCGTTGGCTGCTGCCTCACCTCATGCACCAGTAACTACCACTTCATGTGCGCCCGCCAGTGCCATTGCATCTTCCTGGAGGACAAGAAGGTCTATTGTCCAAAGCACAGGGACCTCATCAAGGGAGAAGTAAGGAAATACTATTATTTAGGATATAATAACAAAGATTATTACAAATTAATAAATTTAGATTGCAGACACCATAAATTGTCTTGGTCCAAATATTCAAAACTTTGTTGCAAAATCATGTATATTTATCTTGTGTTAATGGACCATTACAGGGTCGGAAAAGTGACTTAATATTCTTTATTTTTTACTCACCTATCCTGTTTGTGTATTTTTCCTCCAGGTGGTGTCTGGGTTTGAGGTAACCCGCAGGGTCCTGGTGGACCTGGAGGGAATCAGTCTCAGGAGGAAGTGGCTTGCAGGACTGGAGCCTGAAAATGTCCACACGATGATAGGTAGGTTGACTGCTGCTAATTGTTTGTCGATGATTGTGGCCCCATTTCTTTGTTTTACTGTCAGTGTCTCTTAAATGCTGATTCAAACCTCATCATTACAGGCTCCATGACCATTGATTGTTTGGGGACACTGACTGAACTGTCAGACTGCAAACGCAAACTCTTTCCTGTAGGATACCAGTAAGTCTTCTCTTGCTAAGTGCCATCATTACTATTGTCTCTACAATCAAAGTAAATCCACCTGAGGAAACTTAAATTGCCATGCAAGTTAATTTATTCTCATCTCTACAGGTGTTCAAGGGTATACTGGAGTACTTTAGATGCTCGAAAGCGCTGTGTGTACACCTGTAGGATCCTAGTTTGTCACCCTCCAGTGGTAGAAACTGACCTGAAGAACATGATGGCTTCCGAGGAGAATCGTACAATAGCACACAGCCCACCTACCATAGCAGGTAACTTACAGACTACTTCAGTTTTTAGTCTGTACTATATTTGGGACTATGATGTGTTGAACCTAAATGTGTCAATTTTTTCATATTTAGACTTTCCTGATCCATTTGAATCCCCGAGGCGTTCTGACACCCTTTCCCCCACCAACACCCCCAAGCTCAGGGTTTACTCAAGGAATCGACATCCCAGCTACCCCCCATGTCAGCGCTCCCTAGGCCCCAGGCCCATGCCCTCTCCAGGTATAAATACAAATTTCTGGAAAAAAAACATTTTGTCATAGAAAGAAACATGATATATATTTCTTTATACATAATAATAAAGTACAAGTAATTCCATTGAGTGGAATGTCTGCTTTCCACTGAGTAATCTTAATTTCCACTTTTATTTTGTAGGAGGTACCTCTCAGCCTCAAAGCCATGAGATTGTGACAGTAGGAGACTCCTTGGTGAACCCCGGCATGCGGAATATTGACTCACGTCGCCACAGCTCCCCTCCATTCTCTCCTCCTCCCCTCCACCTGAACAGACAGAGAGGAGTGACCTCCCCAACTCAGTTTTTGTCACGACCCCTTACTTCTCCCCCTCCACTCATCCCTTCACCTGCCAGAGACCCAGAAAAGTCCAAACACCCCAGCAAAGACTCGGCAAAGAGTCCAGTCCAGAGAGATGATGACAGAGTAAGACTGTTCTCCACAGACAGAAACAGACTGCGAGAAACCAGAGATCAAGGGCAGAGAGATCATGACAAGGGAAGAATGTCAAGTCGAGATCAAACTTCTAAAGATTCTGAGAAGAACAGATCGTCCAGAGAGCTGGCGCAAAAAGACGCAGACAAGGGCGAACAACCAGCCAAAGAGCCGGAAAAGAGGAGGTCACTGAGTAAAGACTCTGGTCTAAAAGAATCTGAGAGGGGAAGACCTCTCAGTCGAGATTCAGAAAAGGGGAGACAAGTAAACAGAGACTTTGAGAAGGGGAGACAGGCAAGCAGAGAGTCAAGCAATAGAGAAACAGATAAGAGCAAATCATTCTCTAGAGATTCCAGCTATAAGGATGTGGACAAAACAAAGTCACTCAATAGAGATTCTGGGTTTAGGGACTCTGATAAACATAGACAATACAGCAGAGAAACAGGAAAAGACTCAGGCCAAGTTAAAGACAGACCCTCTAGTAGAGACTCTGACAAGGGTCGACCTCCATCTAGAGACTCCAGTTACAGAAGCACAGAGAGAAACAAAGATTCTGGCTCAGGGAAAGATAGTAACCCTGGCACTCAGTCCAAACAGGCTGGAGGTGAGAGTAAGAGCCCCAGACTGGCACCTGCGTGTTCAGGCCAGTCCTCCCCTCCTGTGGGCACTGCTGTTCTCACAGGCCAGCAGAGAGTTGGCAGCACCAAGCAGATGGACAAGCAAGGGAAACACGGAGGTAAAGACCAGGATGTTTCTGCAAGCCTCAGCTTGTTGCCTCGTCACCGCTCGACCCCCACCTCCAACATTGTCCAGTCTAAAGATAAGCCCAGCTCAGGGAAGGAGAGTAGTAGTGGCACTGGAAATATAACATCAGCGCCACACCATAAGGACTCTGTTGTTGGGAAATCTGGCTCCACACAGCCTTCATTTCAGAAGTCCAGTGTAAAGAAATCAAATGATTACTCTTCAGGTTCAGCCTCGGCAGTGGTTATGAAGCCTCTGTGGCCATCTAGGACATTAGCGGAAGATGACGTGGTCAAGCGAGGCTCCTTGCACCTGGTCTCACCAGCTGGAGCCTCAGCTGCCAAAGACAAACACCCCAAAGTTAAGACAGCAGGCAGCAGAGAGGTGTCCAAAGACCGTGAAAAAGACAAGACTCTCCAAAACAACAACAACAACAGCAGCAACAAAATTCCCATCATCAACAATAATACTAAAGCCACAGCTGGCTCCAACACACATGTTTCAAACCCCAGTTCCCACAACAGCAGCAACAGCAAAGCTCCAGTGCTAGGAAACAGCACCAAAGTCCATGGGAAGTCTCAACATGGGGATAAGCATGAGAACCAGGGAGGAGACAGATCCTCCTTAAAGAGCAGAGAGAATTACTCTGAGAAGAAGAACATCTCCTCTGTGGATTTACAGCAGCTGCAGCAGGCTGGTTTAGCTCCAGAGAAAGGAGTGAAGACATCTTTCCAGTCTCACTCTAAACAAACAAACAACCAGCTGCCGTCATCTAGAGAGAAAAAGCGACCAGTTAAACCCCCCATTGTAACTCCACTGAAGAGTGATATCAAGACTGACCCTAATGGGACCATTTCTTCTTCTTCTTCCTGTTCCACGACCACTACCTCCACCATTTCTCCTGCTGGCCAGGGGACCCGTTCTGCAGGCTCTACTCTCTTTTCCTCACCGTCCGGTAGCAGCAGTGACAGCTCAGAATCTGACACCCAGACTCAGACAGAGGACGACGACGTGCACAAGGACCACTCACGCAGTGAGCTCAGAGACCACCATGGCCTCCTCACACAAGGCCCCGAGGATGAGGGTGACGGCCCGGATGACGACCATGACAGGGGTCTGGATGACAAACATCATGAGGATGACAGTGATGGATCAGGCTCAGCCAAGAGGCGGTACCCTCGACGCAGTGCCCGTGCACGATCAAACATGTTTTTTGGCCTCACGCCTTTCTATGGGGTTCGCTCATACGGTGAAGAAGACCTTGCCTTCTATGGTGGCGGTGATGGAACCGGGGCTGTGGTTAAGAGGAGGACCGGTGGCCGCAAGAAGTCAGCTGAGGGGCAGGTAGATGGAGCAGATGATATAAGCACCACCTCTTCGTCAGGGGACAGTGGTGAGGATGAAGACAGCGCAATGATACACAGGGGTAAAGACCCTTACTACTACAACTTCACCCGAACTGTGATCAACCCTGGTGAGGGCCTACCGTCTATAGAAGGGATAGACCAGTGTCTTGGACGGGGCTCACAGCTTCAGCGCTTTCTAAAAGATGAGGAGCAGCAACAACAGAGGGCTCAAGGAAAAGCTGAAGAGGACATGCTGAGTGCTTTGTAAGTCCACACAATTGTTTTGGTATAATTATTAGCAAAATCATGAAGAATATTATTCTATGATCTTCGATAACAATTGTATATATTGTCTCTGCTTTATTTAACAGGACATTAGGCAAGCAGCGTATTGGGCAGCTTGATGGCGTTGATGATGGCTCTGAGAGCGATACGAGCATCTGCACCACCAGCACCACAACTACTACCACCACATCCTCTACCACCCCACCTAAGAGCACTCCTAAGAGAAGGGGCAGAGAAAGACACACTGAGAAACATGACTCTCATGACTCGAACAAGGAGGCAGACAACAGTGCAGTGAGTAGTAACACCCGAGAAGGAAGAAAAAACCAGAAAGAAAATTGCCTTCCTCTAGGAGTCGGCGTCAAGTCGCAGCCCCAGAGTCAGGGTCAAGATCCTCTCGAGGCCCAACTTTCTCTTAGCACAGACCTACTCAAATCAGACTCGGACAACAACAATAGTGATGACTGTGGGAACATTTTGCCTTCAGACATCATGGAGTTCGTTTTGAACACACCCTCAATGCAGGCTCTGGGTCAGCAGTCTGAGCCGTCCTCCTCGGAGCTGCTGCTTGATGAGGGTTATGTTGGGGTGGATGTCAACCGGCGCAAAGACATTCTGTTTGACGACTTCTCCCAGCCGCTGCCAAGTGCTGAGAGTGGAGGTGTAGTGGAGAGTAGCGTGAACAGCTCCATATCTGTAGAGGAGCCATATCTTCCTCTGGAGCTGCCCTCTGATCTCTCTGTCCTGACCACACGCAGCCCGACTGTCAGCACCAGTCAGAACCACACTGCTGGAAGTCTCATCTCAGATACCTCAGACCGCACCATGCTCAGCTTGACCTCTGACCCAGAGACCATCAGTGCAGAAAAGAGTGGGGACAAGAAAAGAGCAGGGTCAGGTGTGTCACCATCTGAGAATCAGCATGATGCTCCAACTGTCCCTGAAGGTCACATGACTCCTGAGCAGTTTATTCCAAGTCCTGCTATTGGCCAGGTCGTTGACCCTCCAGGTAACCAGGACATTCCAAGGACTTCTGGCACACCGGGTTTGCCAAGTTCTCCCTCCCTGCCTCTTCAGGGTCAGAAGTACCTCCCAGCATCAGCTGCAACACAGGGCAGCCCGAGTTCAGTCCCTGGACCAGGACCGTCCCAGACTCAGGTTTCCAGTCCGGCACTCATCAAACCAGGCCCTGACAAACTCATTGTTGTCAATCAACAGTTCCAGCCCCTCTATGTCCTTCAGACTGTCCCGAATGGTGTCACCCAAAAAATAAGTGCTACAGGAGTGATGGATACCAGCTCTCCTACAGTGCTGAGCTCTATGACACTCACCACAGGGTTGAATACTGGTTTATCCACAGCCCAGCCAATATTTCCTACTGGTGGCAAAGTCCTGGGCACCATGTCTCACCCCTCTCATATTCACACCTTTACTGGAGCTGCACAGGCAGGTTTCCAAACTGGAATCCCCAGCACCACCTCAGGGCTTCTCATTGGGTTGCCCTCTCAGCCCCATGACCAATCCCAGATTTTGGTCTCAGAGGCAAGTCGACCACATGAGTTGGGACCCAATGTTGCTATAGTGTCCAGTCCCTCTTCCCTCACTTCCTCACAGACAGCACTCGCCTCTGCTCACGGCAGAAAGAGGCCCATCTCTCGTCTTCAGCCGCGTAAAGGCAAAAAGTTGGCCCGCTGCCGTAGTCAGCCTACTCTGGCCCCGTCTGAAGTGGGACCTCCTAACATGACCCTTATCAACCTGTCTTCCCCTCAGATCACTGCAAGCATCCCTGGCCAACCTGGTGGCCTGGTTGAGTTAACCTCCCTCTCTGCTACTCAGCGCAAGGTTCCAAATATCATCAAGAGACCAAAATCAGGTGGGGTTATGTACTTGGATCCCACTACTCTAATTCAGCAGAGGATTCCTGGTACTGCTCAGCCTGGGATCCTGGGTCACGATTCCTCTACGCATCTCCTGCCGTGCACAGTCTCTGGTCTCAACCCCAGTCAGTCAGTGTTGAATGTCGTGTCTGTGCCCTCTAGTGGTGCTGCTGGTCTTCTTGCCCCAGGATCAGTCTCCCTCTCAACCCCTGTTCTGAGCTCTACTGAAATCACAGGACCAATTAGCAGTCTCCTGTTTAAGGCAAGTCCGCGTGGCCTGGGCCTGTCAGATCAGCCAATGGTCCTTCAATCAGCAGGGGGAGCTCCTCTGATGTCACAGCTTAGCTCTTCGGTGCAGACGTCCATAGCCAGTAGCATCTGCGTTCTGCCCTCCCAACAGACCATCAGCATGGCTGTCAGCCATCAAGGAGAGAGCGAATGCAGTAATATCCACTTACAGCATCAGCCTGTTAACAGAATGCAGAGTTTGGATTCCTGTTCAACCACCACTGTTACTTTAGCCACCTGCACAGCCACCCCTCTGAGCCCTGCCAAGGGGCGTGTTGTTGGAGTGTTCACACAAACCTCTGCACACTCGCAGAGCAGCAGAACCACTCCTATTTCAAGATCATCAGAACAAAGGCCTGTTTACTCACACACAATCATGTCTACAGCAAGAACAGGTTCAGGAACAGAAAAGGGCAAACAGAAATCCAAGAGGAGCAGACAGAGTTCAGACACAAACAGCGGGAAGAAGCTCAAGGGCTCTCGGGCAGAGGATCATCACAGCAACCCTGCAGGACGACTTCCAACAAACCCAAGGTGAGACCGTCATACTGTACTGGATATTTGAGATGTATCAATATTGTGTGCTGGGTTTATTTTTGTTATGCAATATCTTCTTTAAGGCAGTAAGTACATTTTTTAAATGACTTCATAGCCCTCTGTCATTATTGTGACTTTACCTCAAAGAGATTCTTCAAAGTCCCATTGCATCTGCATGGAGATAAGATACAGTATAGTTCTTAATGAATTTAAGAATGGGGGTATAAAGTAATTTTATTCAGCAGATGCTTCTTCAAAAGAAACTGATCATTTTGTGCAAAATTATGTTTTTAGTTTGAGATAAAACATATAACCAGCAACAATTCACTGTCACATCTTGGAGGATAAGTATCTACTATTTTTTAGGTTAAAGGTCCAGTGTGTAAGATTTAGGTGAAAGGGATCTATTGGCAGAAATTTAATGTAGAATAATCCTTATGATGTTTTCACTAGTTCGTTTCATCTAAATTGTATGAATTGTAGTTTTCTTTACCCCAGAAAAGGCCCTTTATATTCAAATACTTTATATTGACATCGAGGGGACCCTCTCTATGGAGGCCGCCATGTTTTTTACATTTGTCCAGTCTGGACAAACTAAACATCTTTTGATTTTTTATGACAACCAAAGGCTACCAGAGGTTATTTTTCATGTTTGGAAGGAGAGGGTGGAATGAGGGGTGTTCAGCTGCAACATGCAATTTCAACACTAGATGTCACAAAATTCTACACACTGTACCTTTAAGTACTTTATGTAGAATATAAATATGTTTCCATTTTTTGCAAACAGTTCCAAAGAACTGGTCTCCCCTGAACCCATGGACACCGGGAAACCTGCAGATAAGGCAACCAGCAAGGGGTATGGAGTTTCAATATTTGTCACCCATTTTCAAACTAATCATTAAATAGAGTTCTAATACTTCCCCATATCTTTTCCAGTGTTCTTGCTAAAAAGAAGACATCTGAGGGTTCTGTTTTACCGGGGAGAGTTGTGGGAAAAGACAAAGCATCTGCAGCTTTAGGAGCAGGGTCTCTTCTGGTCGCTTCACCCCCAGACCAGGATGGGAACAGCAGGGACACCGGCGTGGACAGCAAACCCAAGAAAGGCATCATCTTTGAAATCTGCAGTGAGGACGGCTTCCACATCCGCTGTGAGAGTATTGAAGGTGAGAGAAAACAAACCCTGGAAGATGACAACCTACACCCTGAAACACTAAATACTGTACATACAAAAATAGTTAAACTACCTTTCTGCTTTCATTGGGAGATTCAGTAAATATTCAATGTTATCAAAACATTGTTTACATTAATGGTACATACATATATTGTATTTTACATGTATAGATTGCTTTTCTATAAATATAATAAGAATAGTCAAAACACTGGGTGTAAAACACTAACTGTCATCTCCTGAATGCCTGTCCTGCTACAGAGGCTTGGAAATCTCTGACTGACAAAGTGCAGGAAGCTCGCTCCAACGCAAGACTCAAAGAGCTTTCTTTTGAAGGTGAGGCGTCACACTAAATTATAAAATAAGTTGTTTGTGTTCAAACTGTGTCTAAAATGCTTTCCAAACACAAATGCTATATTTAAATGGGGACCGTAATGACTGTCTCTGCTCGGCACAGGTGTGAATGGACTGAGGATGCTGGGAGTCGTCCATGAGGCAGTGGTCTTCCTGCTGGAGCAGCTGTATGGCTCCAGACACTGTCGGAGCTACCGCTTCCGCTTCCACAAACCAGAGGAAACCGATGAACCTCCCATCAACCCCCACGGCTCGGCTCGTGCAGAGATCAACCACAGGTCAGAAAGAGACCTACACAGAAAATGCATATTTCTAACACACACACATCTGTATAACATTGTGGGAGCAGGTTGTTTTAGCAGAGGCTGTAAATATATTTGTTTCTGTATCGCAGGCGTCGCCTGTTTGTTTTTGTCTCATTATTACTAAAGCAGAACCACATAACTTCTATTGTTTTCTAACTCCACACTGTACTATTGTTGATTGTACGCTGCACACAGTTAAATGACTTTTGTAAGGAAACTGCTTCACTTAATGAGAACCTTTCAACTGCCTTGTGTGTGTGTTTCTGACTGGTTGTCTCTGCCACCTGTCCACCCTCCAGGAGGTCTGTCTTTGACATGTTCAATTTCTTGGCCTCAAAACACCGCCAGCCTCCTGAGTACAGGCCGCATGAAGACGATGATGAGGAAGGGCAGCTCAAGACTGCCAGGTCAGTTACAGCAAGCACTGAACTTAACCTTAATGTTATTGTCCAAATCATTGTGTCAAGATGGTCTAATATTAGTTAGCAGAGAAACTGTCATCATTGTGATCATTTGTGCTGCTGTTTCAGGCGTGCCTCCATGGAGCTACCACTCACTCTGAGATTCAAACAGCTCAAGGCCACATCCAGAGAAACCGTGGGAGTCTACAGGTTAGATCAATGGCATTACATCACATATAATCATTTAGGATGATGTATAGTTTCACAAAAAGTAGATCATGTAGCTCCAGGATATGAAATGAAGGAGATTAAGATTATACCTGCATCTATATATCAAGACTTAAATAACGTTTTTGTTACTCACTGTTCTCCTCTGCAGGTCTCCCATTCATGGCCGCGGTCTGTTCTGCAAGAAAACCATCGACGTTGGGGAGATGATCATTGAATACTCTGGAAATGTCATTCGCTCTGTGCTCACTGACAAAAGGGAGAAATATTATGATGGAAAGGTGAGGACTTGGGGTTTCAGTTTTAACTGCTGTTTGATGAACTTGACTGAAACAAATAAGTAAGATAAAACCTCTGTCTTTTCTCTCCTCAAAGGGCATTGGCTGTTACATGTTTCGGATCGATGACTACGAGGTGGTAGATGCAACGGTGCATGGCAACGCTGCCCGCTTCATCAACCACTCCTGTGAGCCCAACTGCTACTCTCGGGTCATCACCGTGGACGGCCAGAAACACATCGTCATCTTTGCCTCTCGCCGCATATTCTGCGGAGAGGAGCTCACCTATGACTACAAGTTCCCCATCGAGGACGCCAGCAACAAGCTACCCTGCAACTGTAGTGCAAAGAAGTGTCGCAAGTTCCTCAACTGATCTAAACAAGTAAAAGAGGACTGAAGATTTGGTGAGCAGCAAGGCCACAATTTTCTGAGGGCGCCCCCTGCTGGGGGTTTGTTGTGGCACTAGCTCTCTGAGTTTGGTCCATGTAGGACCACAGCTGCCAACTGTGCACCAACTCTGTCAGTGTTTCCGCTGCTGGTGTTGGCAGAACACGGCAGAGACAGAACTGTTGTGGGTCGTACTGTATATGCAGCTACAGCCACTTTAGTTTAAGGGCCATTTGCAGAAATTCCAACATATTGTGCCTCCTTTTGTCTCAGTTACATTTGGCATGGGACGTTTCACCTTTAGAGGTGAGGTATGAAACGGTTTGAGCCTTCACAACATTAAATTACAATATTAACTTTTGGATGATAAAGTTACCCCATCATGTTCTTTTTTTTACATTGCCACGTCCACTTATACTGAGATTTGATCACACTAAAAAATCAAAGAACTTGGTTCCATTTTACACCAAAGTGCAATTTGTTAAAGGGACTCGGAAAAGTAATTTTACTAGAAAGACGAATTAGAAACTTGTTAGAATTTGTTTTTTTTATTTGCATCACAGTGTCGGGTGATAATGATTCACATCTCCCTGTGTGAATGTGACCTGATGCCTTCAGAGCCATTGTAATTTTACTGAAACCTTCCCCTAAAAGCTTGTGCATTCAACACTGTAAATAGGAGCAGCTAGTGTTTATCAGCCTGAAAATAGCTGTATAGATGGAAACACTAGGAGGAGCTGTGGCCACAGGAGAGAAGAGAGAAACAAGGAGGATTGAAATTTAGATTGGTTGAAATAAACTAAAGGTTATTTTTGGTAGTTCATGTAAAGGAGTGATACCTGAGGTTGATATCATCCTGTGTACTTAAAGCAACGTTTAGTCTGACAGCTTGGTAGCTACGTAGACTTGTTGTTGGGATTAAGCGTCTGGCCTGAGAGAGCAAGGCAGCTAGAGATTCTGGTGGACTGACAGCCAAGGGACTGGAAAACCCTACTGATGTGCTTTAGTAGAAATATTTATAATTGAATTTTTTTGGAGGTGTGAACTACAAACAGCCATGGATCTGACAGAACCATACAGACGGATGTGTTGTCAGTTTGTGCATGCTGTTGTTGATATCAGACTTGTTGTTTTTTGGTAATTATATAAGCTCAGATTTTGAATCACGTTCCAAATTACAGCAGCAAAGAGAACCAAACATTACACTCTTGAATTTAATTTTCTCACCACTTTTCTTCTTGGCCTGTTGTGATAACCGTTACCATGGAGAAGATTTTATTTGTAAAAGTCTTTTAAAGTCTTGTCTATTATCTGTCTTTTTATTACGGGCAGGGAAGTATCATGCTTGCTTTTAAAAAACAAAACAAAACAACAAATGTAAATAATGTATATTTTTCTACGAAAAGACTTAAAAGCACTCACTAGTGAATAGCACTTAATGATGGTATTTATATTTTTTAAAGATCGTATTTATTTTATTGCCATTTTTGTAGGAAATAGAGGTTTACAAACACTAATGCTCGGTCTCTATGTTTTGTATTCCACTGCCTTTTCAAAGTTGTTTTTGTTGTGATTTATTTTTTTAATTTGTAGCCTGAATGTTTTCTTTGATTCCAAAGACTGACGCTGGTCTGTGGCTTGGTCCCGTTTTTAGTTCAGTCCACCAGTAGCTCTTTATCTATCCCAGGCCGTTCAGTCGGAGCTGACAGTTTTTATTTTCCGTTGTTCCAGTTCTAGCTGGCAGTGTGACAGTCATACCAACTATTAATATGCACTTGAGAGAGTTCAGATTGTTGATCCATAGCCAATATCTCCTCTCTCCAGCCTTATCGTCTCCACACCACATCACACCGAGAATCAAGTCCACTTTACGGACTGCTACGAGGCAGCCTCTTCTTGTCGCTAATAAACTGTGGGTTGGGAGACTTGCAGCCAACTGTTCACATGTGTAAAAACCCAACCAGAGTCCTGTTGGTGCAGTGTTCTGTCCCTCTGCAGTCAATAGTAAAGAGGTGCCTTTATTTTAAGCTACCAACGTCATTCAGCATCTGTGTTGAGCCAGTCCGTTTATTTGGTGACCACTCACCAGCATTTGGAAATCACTTTCTCTTCTTTTGGTTATTGTTCTTGTGGTTTGCCTTAGTCGTAAACGAGCATGCCTTCATGTGCTGGACCCAATATCGAATTAGACTGTTTAGACCGACTCGTCCTGAAGTCACCTACTTCTGTTTTTGTCCTTTTTTTAAATGAAATTATTCTGGCCCACCTCTCACTCTGACTTTATCACCTAAAGGCCGTTAGCAGTTTCTCCCACACTGCCCTCTGTTGTTGTGAACGAAAAAGTGACCCACACATTGGTTTGCACTTAAGTTGTGACACCGGCACATATGAAATCTCATCCCTTTCTCCAGAAAGACAATGCAACTCTGATGCAGAAATAGTGCATGAGGCCCCTGAGTTCAGTCAAACTTAGAACTGAACTTGGTGTTTGAGGCTCTAGCGAAGTGCACTTGACTTTATTTTTTGTTTTTGCAGCAAAGTGAAGGCAGGGACCACACCAGCAGCCCATTCCTTCCTGAAGGTGCAGCCTGTACAAACCTCGGCTGTGCTTGGGCCCAAGATCAGGTCTTGTCTGACAGGTCGGCCTTGTGGTTTTACAGCTGCAACTACACCGGGCTCGCTGGGTTCTGCTGCTAAGGTCAACAATGAATGTATGTTCCTCCTCCACATCACCAGACTTGTGATAACGTCGAAACTTTGTCTGCTACATTTGTTTTCGGTTCCTGCGTCAACAACCCTGGTAGATAACAGATGGTGTTTAGATGTGACCTCACGCTGGGCAGCAGGAGTTTCATTTCAGCACTGGGAATAAAAAACACCAACACATGAACAGCAGTGGCACGTCTGCCTGTACGTCAACAGGTTCTTACTGAGTTAGCTCAACAGTTCAAGCTAGTATCGGTGACGACACATTTACTGATGCCAAGGGCTCTGTCTACTACTTGCTTCTCGAGATCCACTTCTGCATTTTCAGGGTTGGAGGGTTTAGTGAACAATTAGTCAGTGTATTTCACTTTTTTTAAACAACATATATACAATAAGGAAATGGTGTCTGTTGGTTCTTTGGACTTTGTTTTTCCACGCCACACCAGTGGCCCTTCTCCGTCACTATCTGTAATTATAGTATAAATACATGACAATAATATACGGAAACATGCATAGTAATTTCTTGTACTATACAATATATGGAATGGACAGACAAACTTAGTTACAGTAGCAAATCAGCAGATTTATAAAGGTTATTAGCAATGTTTCAATGTACTCTATAATGGTTTTGTGTTACAGTAATATCAGATGAAACTAACGTGCATCATTCTTTTGTATATTAATATCCAGTACCAGTTTTGCTGTGCCTGTGAGTGTTCCTGCACCAGCAAGGGACATTGCAGTTTTTCCTTTCCTTTTCTTTTCTCTGGAACAGAAGTGGTTTTTATGTGATGAGAAATATACCTGTATTAATGTGGTTGTGAATTCTTGAGGTCAGCCTATTTTTAGTTTTATTTTGCTTCGTTTGTTTGTTTCCCCCCTGGCTGTTGTAGTGAATGTTTTTCTGTTATTTTTTTCCTTTGTGCGTTTTAACAGGGACTTTTTAGACAACTTACTTGATGTGGTATAAATGAAGAGCGTGGTTTGTGGAGACAAATCAGGAGTCTTTAAACATTTGCACCAAAATGGCGTTTGTTTCATTTTGGAAGCCTCTCGTGTCTCCCTGACCACCTCTCTCTCCTCCGAAGCTTTGGTTGTACTTAACATGTACTGTTTTTATAGAAAGTCATAATGCTGATGTTAAAAACATTTTAATTTATTAATTTTGTGCAACATCCACCCTGAATTGTTCTTTTACAAGTCAAGGTTTGGGAGAGGTGGGACAAATACTGAGTATGTATTTGTGTTTTTCTACTTGTTTCTCGTGTATAGAAGTTGTCAGCCTAGGATGGGATGTGGTGTCACAGGGGGAGCGGATGTATGGATCATGGATTGTGGACATGCTTGCTTTTTTTATGCCTTGAATATACCTTTGTCTTATCAATACTCCTCCTGCTCTCTGTAATAACGGTGTTCATATGTTCAACAGTCATATTTCCTCCCGTTTTTAACAGTGTTCTTTCAATACACATCAACGAAATGAAGGAAAACCACCACAGTGAAAATAAACCACAAACTACTTGGTTGAATGTATAATTAGGAAACAAAGTTGTACATAAGTGTAAAAAGAAAAGTTTCTAATCATGTTTATTTTCTATGCACTTTTTTATTTAAGTGATAGTTTAAATAATAAACATGTCTCCTTTACTCTTCTCTGTTTCTTGACTCAGTCATTGTTTTGGCAGCTGCTGAGTGAAATTATAAAAAATTATAGTCTTAATTAAGTTAATTTAGTACGACTTGGTTAATATGAAGAGAGAGAGAGAGAGTGAGAGTGTGTGTTGGTCAGAAACCGAAAGTAAAGGAGGATTTCTCCTCTCCCTGTGAACTCCTCTGATGAAGTTCTTTGTCCAGCATTGGTGGAAATGAGGCCGTTAACTAACGTTTCAGTGGCTCACGAACACAAAAACGTGACTCGTGAGAGGGAGGACACCGTAGTTAGATATCGTAGTTCTTACAATTCTTACGGTTATGAAATCGTGACGTCATCAAACCTTTAGGTTATCCAAAAACCGGTTAATCCCGACATCCCTTCTATAGATACCTACTGACTCTTCCATGATGTTTCTTCATATTTGTAGTATAGACATATGTCTTAGATTTCATTCATTATGGTCTTAAAAAGACTTAAATCTAACCTGATGAAACCTGCAGAAACCCTGTATAGAGAACATTTGCATAATCTGTCCCTGGGCAGGAAAATATAAAAGACAATAAAACATATACAGCAAAGAAAGACAATATAAAATATCTTGTTACAAAGGTTGTTTTGAGTTGTGTTGAAAGTGTTTTAAAATGACTGAATCATGTATTCATCCTCATCATATTAATTGTTGTTCTTCAGTTTTCAGTGTACATGATCTGCATAGTTGGAGTTTGCTTTTAAACCAGGTTTGGACAAAACTCCATTCGTCACAAAGAATGTGCAGCGTGATCTAAAGCTTCAGATCAACCACATGGACCTTGAGGTGAGATTGTTTTCGATGTTAATGATGTTTCTACAAATCACACATTCGTTTTCTCTGGACACTGTAAAAAGTTATTTTAAAGTTTGAAACATAATTAACCCTCCCACCAAGAGCAGATGTCATGGAAATAAAGTCATCATAAAACTAAAGTCTTTTTTAAAGATGTGTAAATCTGTTTACATCTTTGTGAGATCAAGACTCAGTTTCTGAAACACAGCTCAACCCTCAACTTTTATATAGCCAGCAGTTTTTTAAGTTCTTTTGCTGTAACCCCATACTACAAATAAACTCATTCTGCCCATTTACCAAAAGCTCCACAATAACAGTAAACCCTCCATTCAGCAGTTTATGGATTCTTACAGGAAATCAGCACAGCAGCACCAGAATGTGCTGATTCTGTTGCTGCTAATTAAAACCACGTCTTAACTCTGCTGTCGCCACAGGATCCTGCAGAAACTCCTCCTCACACCAGCCTGATGAGTGGAACTCAAAGGAAAGTCGCCTCTGCTTTCAAAGAGCTGCTCACACCCTCGCCACC